ACCTGCTAATCAAACTCACAGCATACATAAGGTCAGGTCTTGTGGCAGTCAAATACATCAGACTTCCCACAATTTTCTTGTACATAGTGCTGTCAACAAGCTTCCCTCCTTGATCCTTGTGTAGCTTCAACCCAGCCACTGCAGGTGTAGCTGCTGGATTGCTTTGATGCATCTGAAACCTCTCCAAGACTTCACCCACATACTTCTTCTGACAGAGGAAAATTCCAGCTTCTGTTTGTGCTACTTCTATGCCCAGAAAGTAATGCATCAAACCCAAATCTGTCATCTCAAACTCTGAATTCATAGACTTCTTAAACTCATCAAACATGGCAGCACAATTTCCAGTGAAGATCAGATCATCCACATACAAACAAGCAACCAACATTCTGCCCTCTTCTACTTTAACAAACAAAGTATGCTCATAAGGACACTTAGAGAACCCAGACTTGAGAAAATAGGACTCAATCCTACTATACCATGCTCTTGGTGTTTGCTTTAATCCATAAAGTGCCTTTTTCAACTTATAAACTTTGTGTTCACTACCAGCTATGACAAAACCAGGGGGTTGCTCAATAAATACCTCTTCTTCTAGGTAGCCATTCAAAAAGGCTGACTTGACATCCATTTGATGAATTGGCCAAGAATTCTCAGCTGCTAGTGCCACCACCAATCTGATTGTGTCATGTCTTGCTACTGGAGAGAAAACTTCATGATAATCTACACCATACTCTTGCTTGTAACCTTTTGCAACTAACCTTGCTCTGAACTTGTCAATGTCCCCATCTTTGTTCAGTTTGGTTTTATAAACCCACTTCACTCCAATTGCTTCATAACCCTCTGGAAGGTCAGTCAACTCCCAAGTGTCATTCTTCTCAATACAGTAAACTTCTTCATTCATTGCCTTTCTCCACTTTTCTTCCTTTTCTGCTTCCTCAAATGAAGTTGGGTCACAATCTGCAAACAAAGCAAAGTGAGTGATTGGATCCTCATCTTCAGGTTCTCTAAACCTCTTCCCAAGTTCATATGTGCCAGCAGTCATCCAAGCAGGCCTTGTTCTTAGACGAACAGGTCTTCCTCGTGATTCATTTTCTGCATTTTCTTCTGCTGCATTTTCTGGAATTTCTGGAATTCCTGGACTTTCTGCTGCTGCACTTTCTGAATTTCCTGCTGCTGCACTTTCTGAACTGGCTGCTGGTCCATTTTCTGAACCTGTTCCAGCTGGAATTTCTTCAGCTTCATTCCCTCCTCTAGCTGCATCAGGATTTGTAAGCTGCTGCGATGCTTCTTGATTGAAGAAATCATCATCCTCACCATCAACCAGCAAAGGAGTTGGTTTCACATTCCATTCCCAAGTGTGATTTTCATCAAAAATCACATCCCTGCTAACCACAATGCTTTTTGTCATTGGATTAAACAACTTGTAAGCTTTAGAACATTCACTAACCCCAAGAAAGACACACTTCTGACTCTTGTCATCTAACTTCTTTCTTTGAACATCTGGAATGTGAGCATAAGCCAGACATCCAAAGATTCTGAAGTGATCAACTGCAGGCTTCCTTCCTCTCCAAGCCTCTTCTGGTGTCTTGTTTAAAACAGCAAAAGTGGGGCTTCTATTCAGAATATGAACACTCCAGTTGACAGCTTCAGGCCAGAAAGTTTTGGGAACTCTCCCTTTGGTCAGCAAGCAACGAACCATGTTGATGATGGTTCTATTCTTCCTCTCTGAGACTCCATTCTGCTGTGGAGTGAAAGAAGCTGTGAGTTCCCACCTGATTCCATGCTTTCTACAGTAAGCTTTATATTCCTTGGAGCAATACTCCCCTCCTCTATCTGTCCTGAGTACTTTGATCGATCTTTCTGCCTCTTTCTCAACCATAGCTTTAAAGGTTTTGAAAGTGCAGAAGGCTTCAGATTTTTTCTGCAGAAAATATACCCAGCTCTTCCTTGAAAAATCATCTGTGAAAGTAATGATATACCTTTTCCCTCCATTAGATTCAGGTGTTATAGGTCCACAGATGTCCGAGTGTATCAGCTCCAAGACTTTAGAGGCCCTCCAAGCTTTTCCTTTTGGAAATGCAGCTCTATGTTGTTTGCTAACAACACAGTCTTCACATATCTGATTTGGTGTTGTGATTACTGGAAGACCAGTCACCATGTCTCTTTGTTTTAGTGTTCTTAAACCACCAAAATTGAGGTGACCATAGCGAAAATGCCATAGCCATGAAGGATCCTCAACATTGGCCAGTAAAGAACACTGAATGCTTTCAATCTTCATAGGAAACAGCCTGTTAGCACTCATAGGAATCACAACAACAGTCCCTCTTGATGGTTCATACATTTCACAGACGCCATTATGAATAGAAAACTCATATCCTTTTTCTTGTAACTGACCAGCACTTAACAGATTGCTTTTAAGGTCAGGTACATACATCACATTAGATATGGTTTCAGTAAATCCATTTTCTGTTCTTATCTGTACGCTGCCCTTGCCTAGGACTTTGACAGTAGATCTATCACCAAAAGAAACTGTGGTACGAAAATTTTCATCAAGTTGGGAGAATGCTGACTTACTTCCACACATGTGATTGCTGCATCCTGTGTCTAAGTACCAAATGGAGGCAGCCTTGACCTTGTCTTCTCCTGGAACTGTAGCCATCAGCAAGGTCTCTTTCTCAATTCCTTCCACAAAATTTGCAGCACCTTCTTTATTGTTACTCCTTGGCAGCTTTGTGTAGCATTCAGATGCATAGTGACCTATTTTATGACATCTGAAACACTCCACTTGAGATCTAGAATAATCCCCAGCTTCTTTTCCTCTTCCTCTCCCTTCAGAAGAATTTCTTCCTCTTCCTCTACCTCTACCTTTGCCTCTACCTCTTCCCCTCGCGTTGAAAGAAGAACCAGAAGCAGTGGTTTTCAAGGCTTGCTCTGAAAGTGTTGAGTTCCTATCCATCTTCTGTTCATGGACCATCAATGAGCTTTGCAGCTCATCCAGGGAGAGTGTGTCTATATCTTTAGACTCTTCAATTGAGCACACTACATAGTTGAATTCTGTAGTTAACGATCTCAAAATCTTTTCAACTATGGTCACATCATTCATCTTCTCACCATGGACTCTCATTTTGTTGCAGATCTCCATGGTTCTGCCACAGTAGCTCATGACAGATTCAGTATCCTTCATTTGCAGGAGATCAAACTCCTTTCGCAAGGTTTGAAGCTGTGCCCTCTTCATCCTTGTAGATCCTTGGTATTTCTTCTTCAATGAATCCCAGATGTCCTTGGAAGTATTCTTGCAAAGAATTGTCTCCAGAACTGCTCGATCGATTGCCTGGAACAGGTAGTTCTTAGCTTTCATGTCCTTCAGCCTGCGGGCTTCAAGCTCAGTTTTTTGAGCTTCAGTTTGGTTGGTACCCTCTGCTGGCTCTCCAACCCCTGTTTCAACCACTGACCAGAACTCCTTGGATCTCAGGAAATTTTCCATCAGCATGCTCCAATGATCGTAGTGACCATCGAGCTTGGGAATGGCAGGCTGCACGAAGTTGGTTTCTGACATTTGATAACCTCTCGTGTTTCCTCTCTTCTCTCTTATTTTATCTCTCTAGCGTGCTTGTGGTCAGGCTCTGATACCACTGTTAAAAACAAAGAACCACAAGCAACAAGTAAATTTGCAGAATTCAGAACTTGTGCGCAAGTTTTTGGGGGCTGAATTCTTGATTCTTATTGACTCATAGACCAAGCCTTTTATAGGCAAGCAAACCCTACAACGTTACTCCTAAGACTCAGGAGAATTTACAGCCCATGATTCAACTCCACTAACCCACAAACATCTAACAAACTCTAGTGGGCTGACTCTGCTAACAGACTTCCTGGAAAACAGGAACTGACTCTAAAGACTAACATAATGAATATCCAACAAAGAGGCCGTAGTTTCTCCCGTCAGAGGTGGCGGAGGAGCATAGGAAGCAATGATTCGCTCTGCTTCGTCCCTCTGTTTCCGCCGCGCACTATTCTTTCTTCTTTCAACCTTCTCGGGGATAAGTGAAACGGAATCGGTGAGCTGATAATGGCGAAAGATTTTTTTTTTCTTTTTTCCAGGAGGCGATGGGGTATTTCACTCGCATCGCCAGAGGAAGGATGCTGAGTAAAAACCTCGCGAGCTGATAACGCGGCGAGATTTTTATTTTTTTTTCCCCGGGAGGCGATGGAGTATTTTACCTTTGTTGCGGAGGCGGAGAAGGGGACGGGTTACGGTGCTAATTGTACAAGAGTTAGCACCGTCCTAACCAAAGGTTAGTAGTGATTTAGCTTAGATGTTGTATTGATTTTATAATAATCCGTAGTGATTTCGTTATTTTTAGTAGCCTTTTTTGCTAGTTAGCACCTAATCCCATCCCGCGGAGAAGCCCACAGCGGACGCAGCTCGCGAGTGCAGGGCGAGAGGATGAGTCTGCGGTAGTTAATTAATTTTTTTTCAATTTTTTTTCAATTTTTTAAATTGACATGTCATTAAGTTAACGGTCTAGTCAGCAGTTTTGTTTGCCACATCATCAAAACACTAACGGAGTTAACGGAGACTAACGGTCGGTGACTAATGGTGAAACGAATCGTAAAGTTAGTGACGAATACTAGTGTTTGCTTTTTTTCCGTTGAATTAGTGTTTGCTTTTTGGTGTTGTGAAAATAATAAGAGATTAGGTGAGAGACGAGAGTGAATTAAACTGGAAAGTCAAAATTGAGTTGGATTGGGGCTTAAACTGAAAAGTCAAAATTACTTTTTGGTGTTGTGAAAATAACAATTAATCATTGTATCTAAATTCTCCATAGATTAACGAAGAATGTTTAATAACTTGACTATGAATCCAACTAATTACAGGCTACAATTGCCCTGCAACGAGATCCTAGCTACATTACAGATTACCAAACCAACAAACAAAATTCAAATTCAAACCTTGCTATCAATAAGTTTTTACATCAAGAAGGAGGGAGACAGAGAAGCAATGATTAATTAGCATATCCAACATCCCCAAAAATTGGATCGAGCTGCTGCTGTTGCTGTTGCTGTTGCTCACAAGAAGAAGAAGAAGAAGAAGTTGTCCTCGGAGAAGGCTCGCCTACCGGAGCATCGGAGATGGCGTTGAATATCCGGCGGATGCTAACGGAACGAGCGGGCTTGAAGCTGAAAGATCGCTTGAGGTTTCTGGAGAAAACGGTGGATGAAGTGGTGAGTACGAGGTAGACCAAAGCTTGCACAATCACAAACAGCCCGACTTTGGTCAACACATCCGCCATAGATTGATCCAGAACAAGCTCATCGATCGGCACTCAGAATTCAATTCAAGAACAGGGCTAGGCTAACCAAGAGTTGAGAGACAAACTGCTCTTCTATTGTTGTAGTTTGGCATTTGGGTTGGATTCAACGTAACTTGGTATTTATAGGCAGAGAGAAGAGATTAGGGGTAGGATCGAGAAAGAGGGGGACTTAAGACTTTTATAAGTTAGAAATATGTAAACGATGGAAAGAGTCACGTGTTTTGGTCCGACTCTTTCTTTCAGTTGTTGGGTTACAACTAGGGCTGCAAATGAGCCAAGCCGCTCGCGAGCAACTCGGCGTTCGAATCGGAAAAAACTCGTTCGACACTTGAATCGTTAATTAACAAGCCGGCTCGCGAGCCAGCTCGTTAGTAAACGAGCCAAGCTTGAGCTAGGCCATGATCGGCTTGATAAGCTCGTGAGCTAGCTTGACTCGGTGGCTTGTTGAGCTAAGCGCGCGAGCTGGCTTGTTTAAAGCTTGTGGAATGATTAATTACTCTTCTAAGCATGAAAATTATCTTGTTAATAAGGATATGTATGGAAGTTAGATGTTATTTTTAGTTTCTAGTGTTTTTTTTATCATTTTTAGTTTCTAATGTTCTTATTTGTATACATTTTTCAGCAAGAATGATTTCAAATCGAGCTTATCTTGAGCCGAGCTTGTACTCAGCTTGACAAGCTGTGTTAATGAGCATTTACCGAGCTCTATCAAGTCAAGCTCAAGCTGGATTATTTTTAATCGAGTCGAGCTCGAGCTCGAGCTGGATGATCAAAATTCGAGTTCGAGCCGAGCTCGAGCTAAAAAATTTATAAACGAGCCGAGCTCAAGCTAAGCAAAAACTCGACTCGACTCGGCTCGTTTGCAGCCCTAGTTACAACACGCAAGCTAGCTAGCTTATTCTATAGGATCCAAAAACCGGGGAGGTTGAAGAAGAAGCTTCTCTGTTATAACAGTTAATGATGATATGACGGTGATGCTGAGTTGTCGAGTTTTGGATTAAGTTTGTTGATGATGCAGAGAAATGCATTATGATTTATGACAAGTATTTGTTAGAGTGAGCAGGTAACTGATAAGATATCACTTGTCAGCATTACATTCAAATCGGTTCCAAACGTACATTTTAACAATACTACTCGTTTAATGATTTCGTGGAATCAATTCGAGGATTTAGAAGGCCTTGTTTGTGGTAGCAGGCTCCAATTATTTTCTTGTTTATTTGATGAGATGTGGGCTGAAATAACGAAGTTGGGTTTTTTAATGGGTCGACTTCTCCCTCCCACAGGCTGCAACTCTGGGATATGCAGAGCCCAAAATACGTGGAATCTGGGCCGTTGGCGGGCTTTTCTGTGGACAGCGACCCACGCCATTGCTCGAAACAAACAAAGTGTTCTTGTTTGTTGCGCTATTTTAATCTTCTGTGCAAGCAAGCAACCCTACTAAGATTCTTTGCTTTGTCAAATAGTCAAACTGCAATAAAACCCCTAAAAAATTTACGATGAACAAATATTGATGAATAAACAAATATAAATTGAATTATTGACGATTGAAATTTGAGTGCATGCAAAGCTGTAGAAGAAGAAGATGATGAAGAAGAAGAAGCTATTACATGTCGTTACGTGGATTGGCGGTTTCGACTATCTGTATTTTTGTTTTAATTCTTCTAGATAATTATAATATTGATGACTCATTGGGTTCATCAACGTCTCTTCCCTTCTCTTTCTTCTGTTCTTCCCATTCTTCCTTCCTTGTCCCTGTTAGTTATTTAGCCAAACCAAAATAGAAAGTTTCAGTCTTTGTCTTTCACATACACAATTCGGAGAAAACCGGCCTCCAAACTTCCCTCTGCGCGCGCCACGTCAACCCTGCTCCCCCCTTTCCCTTGCTTGCTTGCTGTTTCGATTCAAACCCATGATGGTGGTGATCATGATGAAGCAATTATTGCACGACTGAAGTAAAAGATCGATAGGTAAGGTTGAACAGCCATTCAATTCAATGTGCGTTTCTTTTTCCATTTTTCTTTTTCTTCCTTTTTCTGGTTTCCTTCTTTGTCTTCTCTTTTGGCGTTCTTTCGGGAATCTCACTCTGTATCTCATCTCATCTCACCTTGGTAATCATCAATTTCTGGTCTTTTTGAAGGGATTGATCGATTTTCCATTCGTTGCTGTGGCTTCGTCCAACTGGGTCCTCGTCTTCCGATGCTCTCGGTAAGTGGATTTTCGGTTTACTTGTCTTTCGCGCTTTCTCTCTTAATGGCGCTGGTTTGTTAGGAAATTTGGAGAATTTAGGTTTCAGAATCTGTTGTTTGCCATAGCAGTTACTGGGTTTGTTGCAGAAATGTGGTGAAGCATATGTACATCAAGATGTGGATTTGCTGAATAAGCCAAGTTATTCTCCGCTCTACGTGTTGCTGTTCTTTCAAGCTATGTTGATGAAGCTCAAAGCTTGTTCATTTGTCTCTTACTCACTTCAAATCTTACTAGTGGCCCCTCATGTTCTTGTGGGTCTGTCTTCTGCCTGCTCGCTTTATTCAAGTATTCGTTACGAGATACTGGGCTTGCCTGCTCCCTGTTGAAACTTGGAATTTGGTGATTCCATATAAAGGAAGGTCAGATGGCGGTTATTTAATCATATGTTGGACTGGGGATGACAGGGTATTATGAACAAATATTACCTATATTCTCCTTTCCTTGATGCCTTCGCGGTCTATGTTGCTTATAGAAATGAGCAATTTTTAATTTTTCAGAATACAAACGTAGCTTCCCCTTTGTTTACATGTGCAGTCACACTGAGCCATGTCTTCACTACTCCTCTTCTCCTGTCGGTCCTTCTTTCTTCGCTTATGGTACCTATTCGACTGGCTGTATTTCCGCTGATCGAGGATATCCCTTATGTGTGCTTTATGTGTCCTACCTTTTTCTGTAGAACAAACAGGTTGATATATGCTATTTAGAGTTGCTTTCTTCTTGTCTATCTGTCTCTCTGAGGGTCATCTTTTAACACCTTGAAATAGGAATTGCATCAATTGCATGTATTGACACAGTAGCTGAACATACTGCAAATAGAACCAACTCTGTTTGTTGGTTATTCATCTTAATAGAATTCGTACTTAAGCAATTGGTGATGAACTTGATGAAAATTTGGCAGAACATGAATTTTAGGATCATTATTTTTTATCAACAGGGACTTACTGGCTGAGGGTGGACAATTTACAATCGCAGTACTGAGTTTAGCATAGAGGCTAGAGCAGAAGGGAGTTTTGTCCTGAATTAGCATTGTCTAAATGGCTCCAGGAGGCATCGCCTGCAAGGAAGAGATAGCCTTTACAGATGGTGATATATTGACATTAAATGCAGACTCGAGCTCTCCTTTTAGAAAAGCAGCCTCTCCATTTGGTGGAAGTCTTGGGACATCAGCTGGCAATGTTCAGGATTTACTGGAATGTCCTGTGTGCATGAATCTCATTTACCCTCCAATTTACCAGGTATACATTTTTAAATTACCAAACACCTAGAGACCAGTAGTAAGATATGTTTATTACTTGATGAGTCACTATATCATATCACCAGGTAGCTCTAGATGTGTGGAAGTTATACTCACGGATGATGTCTTTTCACTTCTGAAGTAAGACCAAAGTATACGTTCTTAAGATAATTTTTTAGGTTCTTTTTTAAGTCCTTTGGAAATCCTAATGAATTGATGTTCTGATATGCTCATTCCTTGAAATATAAGATTCCCTAAACTAATTAACCATGTAAAAGGTATAGGATCTATTTTTATGTTTGAATATGGATTTAAAATCCATCAATTCTTGATCTTACAAATTATTTCTCATTTTGATGGATCCATAGTTACACTGTAATTGCAGGAGTAATCTAATTTTTATCTCCACCTGCAATTATTGTCATTAACTCTAAAAATATTGGTTTTCAAACACCAAACCTATCCATCTATGATATCTTATCTCAACATCTAACCAATTTTGTCTGCTTTGCCAGTGTCCCAATGGCCATACGCTATGCGAGAAATGCAAAGCAAGAGTGCGTAACTCATGCCCTACTTGTCGTGGAGAACTTGGAAACATAAGGTGCTTGGCACTAGAGAGAGTTGCTGAGTCGCTAGAAGTTCCTTGTAAATACCAGCACTTTGGCTGTTATGAGATATTTCCATACTATAGCAAGCAAAGCCATGAAAAGAGCTGCAAATACCGTCCCTATGGCTGCCCTTATGCTGGTGCCGAATGCTCTGTCACTGGAGACATCCCACAGCTTGTTACGCACCTCAAGAACGATCACAAGGTCGATATGCATGATGGGTGTACCTTCAATCACAGATACGTGAAGTCTAATCCCCAAGAAATTGACAATGCCACATGGATGTTAACTGTAAGATTCTTACCCTTACCATGCAGAATTTAATTTTTGTTTTTGTCATATGATGTGAATTTGACATTATTCTCAAAGAAGGCGCTTGATTATTGCCAATTAGAATGCCCACCTTTCATCTTGTCTTCGAACTTGAACTCCGGTGTCGTGACACCTTAGTCTGATGTTTGGTCACTTGGAGATTTGTTCATGCAATGGAATTTGCAGGCGTGTTAACAGGACTTCCTGATGTTGCAGGTCTTCAATTGCTTTGGCCGACAGTTCTGCTTACACTTTGAGGCCTTTCGTCTTGGGATGGCTCCAGTTTACATGGCTTTCCTGAGATTCATGGGTACAGAAGATGAGGCGCGACAGTTTAGTTACACCTTGGAAGTGGGTGGGAATGGCAGAAAGCTAATATGGCAAGGTATACCAAGGAGCATCCGGGATAGCCATAGGAAAGTAAGAGAGAGCCAGGATGGATTAATCATTCAGAGAAACTTGGCACTTTTTTTCTCTGGTGGGGACAGACAGGAGCTGAAGCTGAAGGTTTCCGGGCGCATATGGAAAGAGCAGTAAGAATATGCGTAAGACATCAACAACAACAACAACAACAAAAACAAAAACAATTGATTGGGTAGAACTCAGATCAATCATCCATCTTTTGGTTAGGTACAGATAGATTGCACTAATTTTGGTGAGATGTATTGAAACCGAGATATGCCTTCACTGATGCCTGCTGCATTGTCAGGCAAAGGATTCGGGAAGTGAATAGTATTAGCTTAAGAGAGGGAAAAGGATGATAAAGGTAGTTTGATGAGAAAGTGAAAGCTTATGACTTTAGAAGCGTGCCATGCAGGGAGCTTGCTGAAATATGTAACTTGATGATGCAGGACAACCGAAATGGAGAATGTTAATTACAGTTCGGACATTTCATTTTTTAAAGCTCACAGGCTGGTCCCGTTTGTCTAAAATTCTCATGATGGTCCCATTATGTGATGGAAAATTACAATACTGCCACCCTTAGTCACTTGTCCTGTGAACAAAATCACTCGATGAAAGTGGAAAATTCAACGAGAACTGGGAGAAGTGTTATTACCGTAATTCTTGTTAGCTATAAGTGATGAGTTAGCTACTTACCTGATGGTCCAGTTACCATTTAACGGTTGCAATGCTGGAGTAACATCAACAAAAAAACGTACCTCTTTCAAATTACCGAATGGCCTTTAAGATAAGCAAGTTCATTACGGATAGTAAGTAAACTTCCAATAGGATAGCATTATTTTCTCTTCCGGTCTTACAAGTGAACTCCGTAGCAGAACCTCAGGTGGCCATTTCAAGTGGCAGCTCAACCATACAGAAACCAACTGGGTGCATAACAAATCTTCTTCAATAGCTAAATTACATATTCTGGAATTGAGCAATGACATATAACACTATCATACAGGGCACATCACACTTAAACCAATTGCTCTCCTTCACTAACCCCACCGTTGCATCGCAGCAGCCTGTGAACACCCTACATCATCCTATACAAACAGGGTAACGCAACCCCCAAAACTAAAAGAGCTCCGGCAGACGATCCGAACAACAAGGACAATAGCCCCCCTGCTCGAACTTGGTTTATTTCCAACAGCAGCGGGTTTAGGATCTCATGAAACAGTCCGCCCATAGCAGAGGCACGCAAGGTAGAGGTTCTTTGCCCATTTTTCCTGCAAATGGAAGCAATAATTCCCAAATTATAAGTACAGTATCGGGAACAAACTTTCATGCATTGCACATACATCAAACAGTCTTGTCAGTCGTGCAACATCCCAGCTGGGTAAGATCATTCAGCAGCAACATATTACTTATACAGGGAAGAGCATTTGCTTACCTTCACGTGTGTACTTGGGAATTGAGACGTTCGCAAAGTCTCCTGAGTTTCATCATTAGGTCTGCGTCTAGGGACACTCAAAATAAGAGCAGCTTGATCAGAAGTAGCTGCCGTTGAAGTGATTCTGAAACCACCGTCCCACCTCCTGTGTATGCCTTCACTTGGATATAAAAAATCAAGCTCCACAACCTGTTGAATATAGCATGTCCAATGACAGTCCAGTTAAATGAACACAAACCACATGATCAGAAACCTTAAACCTAAAAAGTGAATACAGGAAACTGATTAAAAATCTTAGCCCTCGAGGATGTAGCTGATAGCCTGATACAGAATGTTGCAAATATTGTATGAGATCCATTTTGCATTTAATGTTTCAGGCAACTTCAGCAAAGATTGATATTCCAAAAAGCACGCAAAAGTGGCACTGAAAATAACTCACTATCTAATGCCAACACTTTAGTGACCGGCGATCACTTGAACCAGGGAGAATCAGAGGCTCCATCATGGAATCGAGTTTTGGGAGGGCGAGCCTTAAGCAGTCCTATACCTTTGACTTCATTGCAGGACATGGGCCCCTCCACGACTCAAACCTCTAAGCCTTACTGGCTGCATGGCCAACAATTTACCATTGCACCAAGCAAAGACATTCCCCAAGGATCCAAAATTTGATGAATCAAATACAAAATGAAACATAGCAGTTAATCCATGTCAGGACGGAAGACCAAGGATTGATATCATTCAACTTGCCCAAGGCGATGATTTGGAATCAAAAATAGGAGAAACAATAATAGAATCAAGATATTGGGGTATTAATAGAAGTAAGACGAAGATCAAGTCTGTCTATAATTCAACTTCCCCAAGGTGATGATTTAGACTCAAAACAGGATAACTAATAAGAGAAGTATTAAGAGAAGTAGTACGAAGACCAAGGCTGGCTATCATCCAACTTGCCCAAGGCAATTATTTGGACTAAAAACTGGAGCACCAATAACGGGATCCAGATATTTCAGAGTATTAAGGCTGTACCTAGACAGCCACATCGCTCTAAAATAAAATAAAATAAAATAAAGTTTACTTTAACCATGGGAAGTAATACGTATACAATACCTGATAAACCACATGTTAATTTTTCCTTTGGAAAGCAAAAGTTAAACCCCATACAAGACAAATTGCAATGTGTAGTGTAAAGATAGTCACCTGATCACTGAAACCAGCATTGCGAGACATGACAATACCCCAGCGGGATCCAGCAGTGGCCATTGAGGTCACATGGAATCCTTCTTTCCATTTCTTGTTGATCCACTTAAAGGGAAATGAATCGCTCACCTTGTAGGACTGTTGGGTGTACTGAGTCCCTGCAATATTAAACATGTATAGACGTTTTAGTTGGCCTAATAACTCATTAACTCCAAATATAGGATGAAGACGGCACAAAAGACTGATTAATCGAGAGCTACAGGCTTTTACAAGTACACAAGATGTAGACTCCTATAATCCGCAAGCAAATGCTAAGCAACTTCCCGGAACATGAAATGCATGAGAATAGCAAGTCTCGCAACATATTGGGTAACAAAATAATGGTATAATGACAAACTTCAAGTCCACATTCATCAAAAGAAATTAAATGTGCCCGCACATCAAAGTAGAGAGCCATGCACCATAATTGACAAAGACTGAAGGAATTGGGGCAATCTGAAGTGAATTAACAGAATAAACCAAAACTCATGAAAGAATCCAACAAACCTTTGGACATGACCACTAGGGAGCTTCCATTATTTGCACCAGCAACTGAGCTAATATAGTAGTTCTTCTCCCATTGTTCCATAATCCACTCCTGAGACAGCAGGATAAAACGAATGTGTTAAAGAGGACATGGATGTGGGCCTGCTTTCTCCACAACCATCGGCATAGAACACTGAGTTTACCTTGTGTAAAAAGAAGGGGGACAGTTCGTAAACTTGACTAGTGAAACCGGTTCCTGCATCCATAATCAATGCCCATAGATTGGAACACGATGCTACACAGCTTATAAGAAGACCATCTGCAATTCCTCTCTCCACATGCTGTGCCAACCTTCCATCAGCCACATTGTAATGGTACCTGATTGTTATGTAAAGCACACGAGTCATAATAACCATTATACGTTATAAAGTTTCCTCAAACTATACTGAAGCACTTCCTCATACTCGTAGCATAGTAAAGGAAGCATTACTTAATATAATGGGAAACATTGAGTCCATCAGCATCCCCTACCTCTGTTTCATAGGTCGCCTCGCATTATAAACTGATATCCATTGTGTGGCAGGAACTCCGAGGCGAACCTTCTTTCGTGGCTGCCCATCATCTTCCTCGATATTTAACCTACCACGCTTCTGACCAACTTGAGAGATAATCTACCAGAAGATATACAACTCATTAGAACACAAAAAGCATGCACAGAACAACAGTTGGTGACTGTAGATCGCAAATCAAATACCTTTTGAGCGCCCTCTGTGTTTATAGGCCTTATAGCTGGGTTTGGCCCTAACAAGCCCTCAAACAAAGATATAAGCTTGGAGTAGTTTGGTTCCTCATCAAATTTCAAATTGACTACGATCTCGAGAAATTGTTTAAGGGGTTGGGGACAGAAGCAGCATAGCATCTCTGGAGACGTTGCCATTTTCTTTTTGCAAACTAGAAAAGACTTATTATCGCCCTGGAAACCACAGAATAAAGGGAACAGTGAGAAGAGCACGATCCAAATGTAAAAAGTTTCCTGTATATGATTCATGCACACCAAGAACATGGGTGCACCATTGTAGCACTTGAGCATGAATTTGAATACAAGTGAGAGTACCTGATAACCTTGCCATGGCAATCTGCCTCGATGTAGGAAGATGAGCGTGTAAGCAAGAGATTCAAGATCATCCCTCCGACTAGCAGTCCTTCCAAGGTGAGCATGAACACTAGCATATCGCACAGTACCCCTATAGAAAGACAATTCAGCAAGGACAAGGGGTAAAGATGGATGCAATCATTGGACCCACCAAACGTTGAAAATTACCCAACATAAAAAAGAAAAACAAGATACCCACAACAAAACAAACAAAAATGGAATCAACTCTCACCTAAACATGTCAGGACGTTGGTCGTACTCGACATGCTCCCCACTGCCACTATCTCTCCACTTTGTCGCTGTAATACACTTTACCAATAAGCATTAAGAGCACAAAAGCATATTCATTACAGGAACAGGAGAAGCTTCTCACCTAAACCCAAGTCCACAAGGAATAGCTTCTTCTCCTGTGGAGTATTAGGCTGACCGAGTAAGAAGTTCTCTGGTTTTACATCTCCATGCACATAACTGTAGCAAAAGCGATGCATCCAAATTCAACACAGAAGGTAAAAAGCTTATAGAAACCATTTAGAGTGCTTCAAATGAGAAGGCAACAGACATCATGAATCTACATACCCACGTGCGTGCATTTTATCGAGGATGGTAAGAGCCTCAACTGCTATACAAGATACCATTTCTGCGGTCATCCTTCAAATGATACAAAGTGGAAGAAGCATGGATTAACCACGTTACCAGGCCAAGTGTTGATGCTCAAATGATTGCATAAAAGAACTTCAAAAAATTTACAGTAACATTGGATACATCCTACTAGTAGGCTAACAGACCAACACCATATTAAACAGCAGAGTATTCGTGCACAAAAAACTCACGCTTGACCAGAAGAATTCCAAACATCCCACAGGCTCGGCCCTAACATGTCCATAACCTGGTAAATATTGAAAATTTTGTCAAGTTTCAGAAAATAAATTCAAGGAATAAGAGGAAGATGCGAACTTTTTGGACCATACCATTACGTAATAATCTCCATGCCTTCCCTTGAAGTGCACTCTAGGCACCCCATAGCTACCACCAAGAGTGCTGTAGAGCAGAAGAGCACAAAATGTAATGCACAACTCACTTTTGTTCTTAAATTCATTATCCACAGAGTTCTGCTCCGACTGAAAAAAAACTTACTTGTAAACTTGCCATTCATAAGGGGGACCATAGTTACAGCCTTTGCTATTTCGGTGCTCAAATTTCACAGCCACCTGAATGTAGAGTAGCACAGTGACGAAAGTAATCACAATGAACTCTTGAATTGTACCACTGATGCACAGCATTAGACTAGATCAACTTTACCTCTGTTGCACCAGGGCCCATCCCACCACGGTCATTTCCACCGCTGAGACGACGACCAACAAACACTTGACCGAAGCCACCTTTGCCCAACTTCCTTTCTATCTTGTACATAGGTGACCCTCCCACTTGAACCTTCAGAAAGGCCACAACAGGAGATAATATATAATTACAAAAACTGAACAGAACAATGGATCGTGAATTTAAGCATAGCCTCCAGCTCGATAAAACACAATGGAAATGAAAATAGAGATTAAACATTAACGAAATGAGACACAACAGAAGAAGCTAAAACCACCTACCCTTTCAGGGAAAGGAACAGTAGTTCCCTCTTCTTCCTGCCCAGCGGCATTATTAGCACTCAGACCACCACTGTCGTCACCCATCCCACCAGCTTTAATATCTTCTTCTGCTTCAAGGTCAACAATAGGAACCAAATTATCGCCTTTCCCGCCGCTCTCTTCTTCTCTATCCGATATCACAACTACCTTGTCGTCGTCTACCTCTCTATCCTTATTCTTCTCCCGGTCTTCCTTCTCCTTCAGTCGTCTCGTCTGCAATCTTGTCCTCGGCACCTCTCTGGCAACAGCAGTGCGGGGAGTCCTTGCGCAATCCGGCGTAAAGGGAAGCTCCTCCGATCGTCGTTTATTATGAGGCGCTAACCCTGCGCGCCCTCTGCGTACACCTCGACGAAGCTCAGGCATCGCTCAAACCCATGCAATTGGTTGTGATGGTGCCCTAGAAACATGAAAACCCCTAAGGACCCGATGGTTGTCATCATAGTGATTTCGAGCTGGCCATGGCTGATAAAAGTGGAAGTTTTTTACAAACAACAATAACTATGAAAACAAATGGGCGGATTTCAAATCAGGATGTAACAAATCGGAATGAGGAGGTGTACAAATCGAATCGGCTGGTGATTGATTGTGCGGAGGAAAGGTAGAATAGCGAATCGTGCGATGAAAGGGTGGATTTTTCTGGGGAAGGTGTTAGGGTTAGGGTTTGTGAGGGTAGGAAAATGGAAATAGGGGGAAGAGAGAGAGGTGAAGAAGAGCCGGAGACACGATGGATGACTGAGAGCGAGAAGATGGAAAAAGCCCAAATCTGTAATTTGAGATTGAATATGTAGGGGTCGTTTGGTTAAATGAATTGTCATCAATTATTGCGTAGTGTTATGAAATAACAAGGAAGAGGAACATACACAAGAGTAAGAGTAGAGACACAAGAAGAGAGGGGGAATAGAGCTTTCTTATTCATATCTTCCTTAGTACAAGGAGACCATCTATTTATAGGCACACATCACATAACCTCTACATTCTTACAATCAATATACATGAATGTGAGAATGAATGTGAAATAGAAATGGGGTGGGGGGTTACATGTAACACCCAATTGTGCAACTAATGTGTCATATGGAGAATAAATATAAGGAGATGAGTTACATAGAACTTGTAACATACCATGGAGCATCTAATGTTGGTCATCCATAATAATATTTTCATAACACTCCCCCTTGGATGACCATTAGACCTGAATATGCCTCATTAAAACCTTACTAGGAAAAACCCTGTGGGATAAAATCCTAGTGAAGGAAAAAGAGTACATAATCATCATAATACGCTATCTGAATCTGCCTCGTTAAAAACCTTACCAGGAAAACCCAGTGGGAAAAACCATGGTTAAGGAAAAAAGAGTGCAGTGCGTATATGCTCCCCCTCATGACAACATCAAAGTATAGTGTTGTGAACAAATCTTTCAAATCTTCTCATGGTAAGCTTCTTAGTGAACAAATCTTCTAGATTGTCACTTTATGCATGATCCATTAGGACCATTTTCTTCATACATGATCTTCAAGATCATTTTTTATGAAGAGAATCCACAACTACAAGTCATTTAGACGTGTTGAATAACAAATCTTAACCAAACAATTCATAACAAGTCTCATGAATTGTTGACCATTGTGCATGATCAGTTGCTATTGTGATTTCTTTGGAATCTCCATGAGATACTTGTACGACCATAAATAAACAAATTACTCATCTATGATCCTCATCGTTACCTATAGTAACGAAGTATAGCGAGATACATTTTCGCTCTAACGACATTAACATACGGTACTTCAGGACCTAATAATTCACTTTTATCTCAATGCCTAAATTGATCTTTGTTCACTTCTAGTGACCATGTGATCAATAAGTTGTTTAACATATGCAATTTTTTCCATACAAAATTGTTCTTTCACCTTTCCGACATTGTCGTACTGATCCAAAAAGAATCTTCTTAAATCCTCCATGTTCAATTTTATTTCTTTAAGCAATCCATGCTATATGAAACTCTTCTAGAGTTCAATTTTCTTTCTTTAAGCAAACCATGCTTTATGAAGCTCTTCTAGAGTTCATATCAACTATAACATATGAGATCATTATAAAATAATGTCTCAACTATTTTCTTCTAAATAAATATAAAACTTAGCTAACACAATTGTATGCAAACAATTTACTTCATACCACAAGGTCACAAGCAAAAAGGCACGTCATACACACAACATCACTTAACCAAACCACATTCATAAATCAAACTCATAACTAAAACCACAATATCACGCACATAAACCTATATGTCATTACACAATCACGCATGCCAAATGCAAATGCTCTAATGCACTTTATTCGAATTTAATCACGCAATGCTTATTCGACCACTTCCTTTAGTAGATATTCACTTAGATGAATATACCATATTCATCCATTTTATCTCAATCCATACAAGGGATTGTTTTATCGATCGATTTTGTTCTCGAGAACGTCACATGTTTGCTCCCGGCAAACTAATCCTTCAAGGAGTTTCGTATAAATATCATTATCAAGGGATCCATACAAATAGGTTATCACAATATCTACCAAATACTTTTTGAACTGCCAAACTATTTAAATTGCACAACATAGTTGCATCCACCACAAGAGAGTATGTCTCTTCATAATTGATGTCAGGTTTCTACCAGAAACCTCTCACGAGAAATTGTATTATATCTCTCGCAATTTCCATACGCGTTTGCACAAAACCTATTTATATCCCATTAGTTTTACATCTTCAGGTGTAAGGACTTCTGGTCCAAAACTTATACCAAATAGCCTAATGCTTTCTTTTATATTAACCAATATATATTCCTTTGCATGCATCAATAGACTTTTACTTTTGATCCTCTTTGTATCTATCACGTTCAGTGCTACAGCATAATTAAAACCCTTGTCGACAATAAATACACTTCGGTTCCAATTTTTCATACAAGCCAATTAATTGAGATCTCTTCATTTTAAAATGTTCAGGTACCTACTATTCTTCTGGAGCTATGATCTCAATTTTATGACTTGACTCTTCTAGAGCTATTTTATCCTCGAGTTTACCATCTTAATTTATAGCTCCTTCCTTTCTCGAGGATTTTTATCCTTGGAACCGATTGGTCTACCACGCTTCATGCGCTCGTTTAGACTCATTAGATTATCCAATATGGACATCAATTTGTATTGGAGCATTCACAACTAGGCATGTGACATAATCACTCCTTTTAGTGAGTAAAAAGGCGTTTGACAATCAATACGTTTTTTTCTCTCTCCATGAATCACCATATGAACTTCGGGTTCATGTTTCTTCGTTTGAGGATCAAAATGAGATAATGATGATTCCAACTCACATCTATGCCCCAGTGTTTACTTTTCTCCCCCTTAACGTTCGAAAAGTAACTCATCAAAATGATGATATTAGCAAAAAGAGTCATGAACAAATCTCTCATTGCAATGGACACAATGTCCAACATACGTTCTCATGGAACTCATAACGTGTTGTGGTGGAGCAATTGGGATGTATTCTGTACACCCAAATTTTCTAGCATTTTAAATGTTTGGTCCCTGACCAAAACCATTTGTATGAAAGGGGAGAACTTATGATAACTTGTTGGCTTCATGCGAATTAATGATATCATATGCCTCGATAAGAGATCGATAGACTTAGTTTGTTCTCATAAGAGAAGTTCTGTTTGATTGGATAATCATCAAAATATATCCATCATTCGGCAACTAATCTCGTAAACATCAGGTTGCGTTTAGATAACAGACATATATGATTATATAGTTGATGAATCAACCAAAATCATAAAATTCATATATGATTTGCACGGTGCGTGTATTTTTCTGCATACACTTTTATAAAATCTCAACAAATTCAATTATTTTCACGAGTATATTCTCCTCGAGACCATGTATCACATAATCAATCCTTTGATTGATGAATTCTCTGAACTCTCACTTAATTTCCGTATGATATCTCAATCATTTTTCGCATCTGTATCCGGGATGGTATGACCGGACATGCCAAAATAAAAAGTTATCCGATCTTGCAAACTTCTGGTTTACACTTTCATATGTACTAATATACATGTAGTACAAATTTCTCCAGTTAAGTATATGTTCTCTTATAACACATTTCTGATGCAATATCAATTATGATATTCTTTTCTGCGCATATCTTCATAATTCGGTAATGCATCTTCAACTGACAGTTTAGTTCATTCACGTCTCAAAACATTAGCTCTTCTGGAGCCTTCTCCTACTCTTGTACTACATGTTGGCCATGAGGCACCTTCTGATTCGGTGAACTATTGTAAGCGCATATACATAGTGATAATAATATTTTCATACTATGGGTATCACCAATATATTGTTTAGTTACTTCAAGTAACAAAACACAATCTCTTCTGGAGTTTATGCTTAATTTCATACTATATGATATAATACCAGTATTGACTTTTGCAAATATTCATTCTATACAAAAGCATACAAAATAATAATAATAATAATAATAACAACAACAACATATATGTGTTTCATAACACATTTCGGCATACGAAGGTAACGGTATATGATCATGACTTTTGCTACATGAATTATCATCCTCATTTATAATTATTTTATCTTTCACTTCCGGTGAAAAGATACATTTGCTGATTGTCATTATCCAAACACCAAATTATATTAATAAAATGGTGTGTCTCGATCCATTCACTTTTAAGAATGGTTTGTTTTCATACGCTTCCAGGAATGAAACAACAGCCTCTGGATCAAATTATATAATATTTCTCATCATCACAAGTCCAATACACTTTTCACCTTTAACAAACAAGAAATAACTTATGCTTTATAAACCCTCTTCCATAATATTGCTACTGCAGGAGCACATATAGATTTTCATTTTCCTTCCATTGATTCTTGGACAAAGAAAACTTTTTTTCATATATCGGGTTCAAGACCAATGATATATTTTTCTTCATTTTTTCACTTCGGGGAAAATGAGATCTTTAGACTTTCATTTCTCTATATGTACAATGTAGCAATCGATAAGTCAACCCATAATGATTTTGCTACTACAGGAGCAATTTTCATTTTTTGATAATGTCCAAGCACAAAATCTATGTTACAAGATCGACATATATAAAATAAGTTCATAAAATAATATGAACAAATAACATGATCAAATAATCTCTCAAAGACAATGAGATAGATAAACTTACTAACAAGACACGATATGAAAAGTTGCATACCTTGATCGTGTTGTGATCTTACTCAAGTAAGTTTTGATTATGTAAAGAGACAATAACCAACCATGACTCTGGCAGAGTTTCGTGCTGATAACGTGTTATGAAATAACAAGGAAGAGGAACATACACAAGAGTAAGAGTAGAGACACAAGAAGAGAGGGGGAATAGAGCTTTCTTATTCATATCTTCCTTAGTACAAGGAGACCATCTATTTATAGGCACACATCACATAACCTCTACATTCTTACAATCAATATACATGAATGTGAGAATGAATGTGAAATAGAAATGGGGTGGGGGGTTACATGTAACACCCAATTGTGCAACTAATGTGTCATATGGAGAATAAATATAAGGAGATGAGTTACATAGAACTTGTAACATACCATGGAGCATCTAATGTTGGTCATCCATAATAATATTTTCATAACACGTAGAATTCATTGTCAAATGAATTACAGTATTTGGTAGTCATATTCAATATTTAGAAATAAATAAATTAAATTCTCAAATCATGTTTGATATATGTTTAGAATTGAATTAAATTAAAAGTTTCTCCAACTATACCCTTATTAATTTT